GCCTGATATTTCAATCATCTGCAACTGTTTTTTTAATTATCGTCAATCATTTTCTTTACCAAAAAATTGTATTATTCCTTCCGACTTTTTAGATTATACATATGTAAGTTATGAATCTCACTTCAAAAGCAATCTTGAGCAGCTTTTATTCTCTATGAAAGAAATGTATTAGCCATACGCACAGATGGTTGCAGTTACATTGCAGAAACGTTGCAATCTTGCAGATTGCAATAGCTCGCAATAGCTTGCTATGCATCGAAAAAGGCCCGGATGTATATGTAATTAGTAAATTCTCTGCTTATGTACAACGACAAATTATTCCGAAAATATTGCGCCGCAACATTGCTATAATGTTGCACTGCAGTCTCTCTGAGGGCGGACATTTCAACGTTGCTGCAATCCTCCAGAAACGTTGCTGCAATATTGCAATCTTGCAATGTAACATTTCTGCAACCTTTCTGTATGGATAATTCTCTTATTTCTTTCTTTTGTCCCCTCTGTCGTTCTGCATGCATTAAAAAAAAGTAAGTACATATAATAACAATAGCCATAAATTATTAAAGTTTGTTTCCTTTTCATTTGTCTCTAGTTTATATTGAGATTTAAAATCTCTTGCGTATGCACACATTGCTATATTTAGTCCGGACTCGCACCAAAGGGCAAAATTTGTCGGTAAAGTCGGATATATTTATTCCAGACTCGCACCTAGGGGCAAAGTCTGTCGGTAAGGGACGAAGTGTGTACTCGACTTGGGCCTTTTGGTTGGCGATCTGTCTATTTGTTAATCTGTTGTGCTGTGCGTGGTGCACGCCGCGTGTAACATAACCTCGTAAGGTATCCGTAGATAACAATTGACAACCTGAAATTTGCGAAAGCACAACCGGTTTTGATAATTAATGTTATTATGATACATACACAATTATATTGCAAAATGAAATATGTTTTTCTACGCGATTGTTCGTTTTGTTAAAAACCAACACCGTAAGATTTCAAAACTGTTTACTTTGAGACGTAAAGTCGTAAATTTTTTATCCCGCTACAAATAATTTCACGTTTAAGATTAAGGTACGATATTGGTTTATTAACGCTGCATTTTGTTTTTACTTGATGCAGTACTATTGTAAATCGATCGATCTGGAAGTGATCTTGGTGGCGGTGATATCTACGGATAATTAATCTACACAAGACAGTTCGCATAAAAGCACGAGTCATAGATGGTAAATATCTATATTATTTTATTACTTATTTTACTAGACCTTTTATCCTGTTAACAAACGCTTCGTTCTTTTTTTCTAGGCACGAAATGCAGAGAAGGCTATGTAAGTGCGATTTTTAACGCCGTCTGTTTCGTGAACTTGTATATTTGCCGTGACGAGTTTTAATCTGATTATTAATATATTCAATCAATATTGACGTCAGTAATTAATATACATAATACTATTCAGGACAACGCTTGCTCGTTGGAGAGCAGCGCAAAACAACGAAGGGACACGGAAGGAACAGGAGCGGAGGCCGTACTTGGCTTCCGAGTGTAGAGACTTGCGTAAGGCGGAGAAGTGGCGGATGCAGATAATTCGGGAAATTGCGAAGAAGGTTGCCCAGATTCAAAATGCCGGGCTCGGCGAGTTCCGCATTCGTGACTTGAACGACGAGATTAATAAGCTCCTTAGAGAGAAGCGACACTGGGAGGCGCAGATAAAAGAGCTCGGCGGACCCGATTACTCAAGAGTCGGGCCTCGCATGTTAGACCACGAGGGGCGCGAGGTGAAGTTGTGGGCGATATTTAATTAATTTTTAAGATTGTAGAGTGAGGCTCCAATAAAACAATATTAATGTTAGTCTTCTGATTGAGTCGATGTTAAGGTGTTAAATATTTGAAGACGATAGGGGCAATGTGAGCAGTCACGGATCTTCCGTGAATAAAAAATTATACATTATTAGGGAATTTCCAAATGACTCGTCGCGTTTTTAGCATATGTTAATCTTTATTTATAACGAAAACCAAATATTAGGACTGAAGAGGCTCGCATGCGCTGACCGAAACGTTTCCACGTAACAAATTGTTATCGAATATCATGTAAACTACATATATTATAATTTTTTATTCACGGAAGATCCGTGACGGCTCACATTGCCCCTATTGTCTTCAAATATTTAACACCTTAACATCGACTCAATCAGAAGACTTAACATTAATATTAATTGATTCTTTCGTATCTATGAAAGGTCAGAGAGATTTATCGAGCGTTCGATCGAATTACAGGTGCCCGGTAATCGCGGTTACAAATATTTCGGCGCGGCCAAGGAGCTACCGGGTGTCAGAGAGTTGTTCGAGCAGGAACCACCGCCGCCTCCTCGAAAGACTCGCGCGGAACTGATGAAGGACATCGACGCGGACTATTACGGCTACATGGACGACGACGACGGTATTCTGATACCGTTGGAGCAGAAAGCCGAGCAGGAGGCGAGAGAAAAGTGCATCGAGGAGTGGGTGTCCCGCAAGAAGGAATCGGAGGACGAGGTCGAGGTCGAGACAACGGCACAAAAGTTGATTCCGTCGCAGCAAGACATTCAAGAGGCGCTGCTGGTCAGAAAGAAGAAGGAGCTGCTGGAAAAGTATGGGCTGGATTGAGGCCCAGGATCGGCGTTGCATTCGGGATACAGACACTGAAATGTCGATATTGCGATATTAACTATTGATAAATTTATTGTTAGTTTAATTATATATTAGAATACATTTTTATAAAACGCGATGAATATAATAATTATTATTAATTTATAAGCACGTAATAACATTGATTAAGATAATTAGTTTGTGCAGTAGACATTCAAACTTGAATGCTTATCAAGAGAAACGGGTGCCGTAGATGAAAAATATAGGTAAAAATCCGAGGATAGTCTGTTTATAATCTTCGCGATATCCGATACCACGCCTCGTTATTTTGTCGTCGTCTTCTGCAACGGGGGACCAGGCGGGACGCCTGTTCCGTAATAAAATAGAATAACAGAGTAGACACGGTGTACGTTATCATATTGTTTCTGTAAGAAAATCTAGATATCGCATGCTCTCTCGTTTTCGCAAATGCGTTGGAATATTGCGAAGTGCATCCTTCAATTTGACCTTGGCTCTCTTATCCTCTCGATACGCTAAGTATCTATTAACGAATAATTCCTATCTAATCCTGCAGCATGATCACAAAACTCTAGAGCAGATCGAGGAAATAAGAAAAATTGTTTACTTCTATCACACAGAAGTTATGAAAGACGTAACTTCCTTAATCGTCCCCGGGACAACTTCGCCTCGGTCGAAAACGTTCTAAATCTAAAGAAATTAAAAAAATAAGATGACTGGCACAAAGCTTAACGACGTATCTAATAGGTTCGTTACAGCCGACTGTTTTTACCCGAATCGTAACTTCCGTTCATCTCTGAATGTCAAATACAAAGTGCAAAATAACTTCTTAAAAAACAAAACCTATTTTTCGTGCGAATTTGTCCTTCTAGGAAAATTGGAAAACCATATCTCGGTGTGGTGAAAATGTAAAACAGGCTGGTCGCTCCCTACATATCCAGCGGCTTATATCACGCAAAGTGAAAAACGTGTGGTAAGATTAACGTTATCGTAATTACGTTTTACACTTGAAAGAGTAAAAGACCTAAAAGTTAAAAAACTACTCGCTAATTTAACATACGTCACTCGGGTGCTGACTCTCGAATTCTTAGAATCCCCTCTAATTTCCAGTTCGTGTTATAGAAAACGAATGATATAATCTTCAAATTGAGAGATTGATATATCGCTACGTCGTTAATTGATTTGAACGCTTCTCTCCTCTTTAGCATCGTGCTGTTTATAAACAGACTGTACATTATACGATAATATCGCTAGGACTCAGAAGTACTCTCTAACAATATCAGCTAATGACGCACGAAACAAATCGTGCTGTGTGTACTTATATATGATATTAACATATCGCTCACACGCACGCGCACACGCACACACATTTAACACTAAAATGGGGCTGCTTTAACCCATTCTACACTCATATAGCTGCTGTAGTACTGTACTTTAAACATCTGGTTAAGGAAACTTTCCCATATTTAGCCCGTTTTCCTTATGCTATAGAGAAAATATACGGGAATTTCTTCTTTTTTTCCGACAAATAATAGGTACTGCCAAAAATATTTACGTCCACTTAACACCGGTTGAAAGAGGTCCAAAACTTTGGGAGTACAATACTCGTAAAAGAGTCAAAAACCAGCATAGGTTGAAAAATTAACTTTAAATGATTACGAAATGACAACCTGCTCTTCTAGCAAGCCGCTATCAGAACGTGTCAGTAGGCTCTGCCAATAGAACACAAGCTTAACGTAGACACAATTAACAATATTCTGTCTAAAACACTGGCAATTAGTAACAAACTGCGATATGAATTTAATATTTTTATGTATAGAACGAATAGGAATTTGAAACATAGGAGCCATATAGTTCTGTACAAAAGTACAAGCAAATCTGTATTGCAAATGAAAGAGGTTGTTTCTGTCTCTGATATAATTAATTTTTCGCACTACGGTCATCATTTTTGTATTTCCCTCAATATCATATCTTGCAAGCTTGGAACTCTTTTATAATTTTCTGTATAAATCACTTCTGATCATATATCCAGATGCTCGTATCTTGATATTTTTTGCATACAGTTGTGATGTTGAAAATTGTTAAATTTACCTGAAAACAGGCAATTGAAATGAAAATTAACGCATCACTTATTTTGAGCTACTCCATAATCCATGTCAAGTGGATACCGAAATCAGACACGGAGACGTGTCTTGCATGTTTTCTCGTATGAAAAAAAAATCTATTTAAATAAATTAACGTACCTACAAACAAAAGGTAACTAATTGGGGTCTAAAACACTGCTACGTTTAGGATGCCCTAAATTCTCATTCTTAGAATGCTTTAAATTCTCGTTTGCAACGCACATCTAGCGCATATATTGTATGTAAAAAGAGAGCACGCGCTGTGCGATAAAAACAATTCTTCGTGTTCTAAAGGAGATTTCTGAGTCCCCGCAATTATTTTATTCTCCTAAATGACAAAATAGTTCGAGCATGGATCAATATGTAATCATGATGAAAATTTACTACTAGAGGCTTGAAAAAGTCAAGCGTTAAATGATTCACAGCATCTGTTTGTTCATTAATCAGTCGCGCTGGCTTTGTCCGCTGATCTAGGGGTCCCCTAATCGATCCTTTGGTCTAAGGCTACTTTCCACGTTATTACTATGCACTTCTATATTTTAATGACAGTATCAAACCTCGTAAGTCACTAATCACGCTTGCCAGACAATCGAGAAAGCTGGTATACACAGTTTTCATAACATAAGACGTAAAGAACTTGAAACAAAATTAAAATACGAAGTTAACGTGCTTCAATGAGCCAAATTCTATATTCGCGTGTTAATTACGTCATTTAAATGATTATGAATATAAAATGTTCGAAAAATTAGATATAGCTTATAAACATTCTTTAGTGAATAAAAAAGTCAAGTTTGCTGAAAGAAATGGCATTTTCAGTCGAAACATGTATAAGAAACAGAAGAGCATCAAATTGGTATGCGTAGTTTCCCAATATTTTGTACATCTTTTATATTAAATCAATTTCTCCCCCGTAATCTAACTTGGGCGTAAATTTATCGCGTCCTTAATCTTTATCCTCTACTTCTGCGTGTTCTCTAATATAGCTACTGACGGTGGAACCCCTTGCTCAAAAATTCTAATATTAATGCATAGATTATGCCACCATCCCTAGCGTACTTGTGATCGTGTGTATGTTTCTATTTCATCAGTTATAATATATCGACTCTACAATCACATTTGCGTTTACCAAGTGCGTTTTGCGAGTCATTGTGCGTCATTGAATTGTCAAACTGTTGGTCTCGTGTTCCATCTCGTGTTCCGAGAGGTCTCGCTGAACCGCCACCGCCGTCACGTCGCGGCGACAATTGCCGGCCCACGCATGTTATCAATCCATTCTCGAACCATCTCAAGACACCAATGCCCGTGTCCTAATCTTATCTCGCTATTACAATTTGTTGCTAATCCATCCAGATTCTCTCTTCTCAGGCACACCTGAAGGGAACGTGAGATACCAGTTGTAAAGTTTAAAGTTAACAAACCGAACTGAATGAATCAACGATAAAAACAACCACCGTCGCATATAAATAAAGTGCGTAGGTATACATTATTTTTATAAGCCCTTCGACGAGTATAAATTTTGCTAATGTCAGCTAATATTAAGTTTGCGAGGCCGTTTAACTTAATATTATTGCTAGCAACGTTAACTTATTAAGAATCTAGTGACAATAAATTATTTCTTGAAAGAATGCATGAAATCAACGACCAATCTTGGTGTTTAGATACCATGTATAATCCTTAAGTTATCAACTAACATTGGACTAAACTCATCATTGATACTTTTTTCGTTTGTTTTAGATTTAACTGTTACTAGGCATCTACGTTTCATTCATCATGCCCAAGTTACAATAACGCAGTTCAACAAAAATCAACTTTGTCAAATCCGAAAGCAGATATAATTATTTCTTATCATTTCTTTCTCCAATTACATTTAAAACAGACTTTGTTACGTCACAATTTTGAAATATTTCAATAAACTTTATTACGTTATACAATTACAGCATATAATAATTTAGAAATTTTTTTATTCATTCAAAATTAAGTATTGTTGAAACTTCCAATCCTTAAAAAAACTTATGAAGATTAAAGTAAGGTTTCTCCGATTAAATATTAGAATATCTATGATACTACAAGAAAATCATTCAATTTTATTAAATGTTATTCAAATGTTTATTAAAATTTAAGGATTTTTCGGATCACTCAATAAGCAGTTTGTCAGCAGATTTGAGCAAAATATTGCGGCGAATTGGTATCTCAATTTCATTAAACTTACATTCTGCCAGCAAAACCTGCTCAAATGAGATAAAAATTCTTCAACGCATCACATGCCATAATTGTAGGAGAACCACACGAAAAATTTTCTTTTTAACATTGATTTTAGTTTTTTTTAACCGACATGAAAAAGAAAAAGCAAGGAATGATTAATTCTTTTGTTCGAGTCCTTTCTTGTTGAACTGCGTAATAAGGCTAAGTATTAATGAGGAAAAATCGGATGGCTATATTCAGTGTTAAATGCATGCGAGAACACGGGCCCGATATTCGCCACATTGATTCACATGAACAAACCATAGACATGTACTTACATGTCTATAGAACAAACACAAGCAGATCGGATATCGGGATCGAATATACAATTATATACGATAAGATGGGTTAATATCGACACAATGATGCAATTGCAGTAATAATTTAAAAAAACAACAATATTATTGACACGTTATGTTGTTATGTATATTGCGACTGTAATGAGTAATACATTTGTTTAATACTACAATAAAATGCAAATTCAAATATTCCAATTCTTTGATGAAGAAAAAAATCAATTCTTTTCGACAATCTTAGCAATAATTGTAGATTTAACTGTAAATTATAGTAGAGCAATTATCAACTTTAAGCCAATTAAATAAACACGTGACTTTATCTCAGGCATATTTTATCTGAAGTTTAGTAGAAGGGGGGAAAAAAGTTGAAATATATTCAACTAGAAAACAAAAAATTCACGAATAATAAGAAGATAAAGTTCACCAAAGGCGTTTACTACCTTGATATTGTATTAATATATTTATTAGCTATACTCTATTCTATTGAATAGCTGTTGTAATTGAAGAGGCAAAAATCAAGACGTGTCTGAACAATTCTGTTCTTGCTCCACACAACTGACAGATACGACTGTACGATGGTAATTCATTGTGTCGATGTTATCCCAGCTCAGGGTGGACACACGAATCATTTTTCTAAATTCTCAACTGAATCTTCCAAACAAGAAATGTTTTCCTTCCAAGGAAACAACGGCGTTTCCAACATTAAAGTATTAGCTTCGCAGAAATTTCCTATTAAATCTCTGAAGATTTAAGTAACTTTTCTTAGGCTTCGATACAAATAGAAATCGAGCAAGAACTCGATTTTCAAGAACATTTTTACTAAATCACAGGAACTTTTGGCTCTTCCTGGAATGTTTTTTAACAATTATGGAAAAACTGTAATTTTTCTAGAGCATCTTCCCGATCCACGCGAGAATATCTTCCGGATTCTCAGAGCACTTTGAAAATGATTAGGGAAAACCTGGATCTTCTATCGCGTAACCACCCTGCATCTTAAAGCATTGTGAAGTCAAGAGATGTAACCATCTGGTTTCCGAAATGACGTCGTTCGGACGTTTGAATTCCGCTTACAGTTCACGACAATCCTTCATTTAGCGTGGCGCGCGGCATAAAAAGGGTGAAAGGCACAAAGTAAAAAATAAATGATTCAGATTGGCTCAGGCACATGTCGAGTCGGAGAGTATCGTACCATGCGACAGGACAGGTACGACGATTGGGCCGGAACGTCGATAAACGCCGGGACGATCGCGCGATCGCCGGGACCCTCAACATCGAAGACTAGCCACACTGCTCCCATCAGCGTATCAAAAAGGAAATGTACTTGGTACATTTAGACAAGAGTTTGTAACTCAGAGTTTACAGTATTCCAAACAGAGCATCCCGAACAAAACAACAGCCCAGAAAGTTTTTAAAGGGCTTAATTTGAAAGTCGATTGACAGTTAAGGGGGGACATCTTTCGAGATACTTAGAAATGCCATTTAGACATTGGTACTTGTCTAACAGAGCTCTGAAACATTAAGACATCCTTGGAACTTTATATTGTTACATCGTATTTTGTTTAACAGACATAGAAATCGGAACATCTTTTGCGAAGCCATTTGGACATTTGTATTGTTCGGGCTCTGACTTGGGATTGACAGACCGATTGGAATATTGACTTCCGTTCTTGAACCAGGCAGTACACAGTGTGTCTCCGTGAGATAAGGAGAAAAAATTGAAATCTCTCTCTCTCTCGAGATAAGCCTGCCGCAAGCAACTGTTCTTCTCCAGAACCGCCCGTCTCTGTCTCCCGTGTACTCTTCGGCGAGTACCGGCTAAGTTGTTTCGCGCTCGATTAGTCGCAACAAGAATGAATCCATGAGAGGCACTCACACGAAGACACCTCAAGGACGCAGTAGCGAATGCCAACGTTGTACTTGCAACGGTTGCCTCGCCGTTCGCATGTCGTTCCAATGCTGCAGTTCCTCGGATCCGGAGCTGTTCAGACCCAGAGAGAGCCAACCGATCATCTCCCGTCCCTTTCTGCCCATTCCGCCTCGTCGACGGTTGTACACAGAGAGGAAGAGTGTCACGTCTCCCAATTGGAACAATGCGATCTATATTCAGCAACGAAATGGCATGTATCACATTTTAAATAGAAACTTTCGTTAACCCTTCAACTGCGAGAAGCGTGTATACATCCGTGCCATCGAGTGGCAAAGTCATTTAATTTGTAACGCGCCGCAGTTGAAGGATCAAGAAACGAGGAGAGTCAGTGACTCGTAAAAGTTACCTGAAATATAAAAGTCTCCTTATAGAGAGGATTTGGTTGGGCACGTTTCAAGCCGGTCTTAGACCGACCCATTTCGTGATTGTTGCTATCAATAAGAGCCAATTTGACGTAAGTGTCGGGAGGTTTTGTATCGTTCCCGCCTCCGCCGCGAAAATGGGAACCCTTGATTATTTCAACTGATAAGCGACCCGTCGTGCCGTTGTACGCCAAACCGATTAGGATCTCGGCGACACTGCCCCCCTTCATGCTGCTGCCATAAGGTGGTATAGCCGGAGAGGCATACGACTGGACCGACTGTTGGGATCCCGTGGAATCGCTGCGAGTTAAACTGCTGGTGGTTCCCCAGTCCTGCGCCTGGAAAGTGTAATACAATCTCCATTCCACTGGCAACTACTCCGGCACAGATTATATTGATCAGCGATGATTAAATATAAAACTCGTCGAATAATTTACCGAGGAAGAAAGCGGTGGTTGGAGAGTTAACCAGAGGGTGGTTTCTAACTGGAGATTAATATGATCGAAGGACACTCTGGCTTCACCCAACAATCTTTCCCGACGCATCATTCGGCCGCCCCACAGATACACTCTGAGCCGTACTCCCATCGCGTTTACATCCTCCGGATTTACACGAGGCAGCAAGAAGCTCTCCATGTATTGCGGAGACGTCCCTTGCCGGACTCGGGTCTTGCGTCTCTGCTTTTTCGACGGTAGCAGGACTAATCGTACCTGACTGCCTCCAATCCCAGAGGGATAATTTCTCCCTTGTAATACGTGAACCTGTAACAAGAAAAATAACATCTCATTTGTCGATAGCCGTAATTACATAATCAGGGTTGGGAAGTAACTCGTTACTTGTAACGAAGTTACAGTTACTTTTTTTGGCTACTCCAACTTAACTTCGTTACTTTATATGTTTCTTAAACCTCCATAGATCGCATTAGGTCTTGTCTTTGCGCATAAACGCCTCTATCAACGCTTTACAATTCAAATGCAGATTCGATGTTTTTATTTTTATTCCAAGAAAGTAACTACAAAGTAACGATTCGTTACTTCTTGAGTAACTGCAACTATAAGTTACATTTTTAACGAAAAACTGCAACTGCAACTAGATACTTTTATAAACTAACTTTCCCAGCCCTGTAAATAATTAACTTGAAATAAATATAGGGATTTATCGCTTACAATACAAAATGAGAGTAACATTGAAAATAATATATTATATACAAATATTAAATATTCCCTCACGAGCATTTCACTGAAATAGATATTAAAAAATAATAAAAAATGGAATGGAACGATTAAATGACAATTATACGTACTGTCATCTCACGCATTGGGGCATCATATAGGAAAGCGACTTCCAAACTACCGATTTCCTCGGTAGCCACTGTGCCCATCGTTGTAATGACGTCATTGGTTGTCGAGTCATTTTGCTCAACTTGTATTTCCTGCTCTCTACTATCAAGTATAATGCTAGAAGCACCAACTTCCACCACGCACTAAAACAGACGAAATAGAATGTTGAACGCAAATCTCTTACGTACGTCCGAGAGTCGCAGGATTCTCTCTCTCGAGTTCCCTTAAAATCCCTCTCAAACGTGGTCAAGAAATCACCTGTTGTTGATCTGCTGGAGAGTGTTCCTCGGTGCAGCTGCTGGAGGTGGTCCCAGCATCTACAAAGAACGATTATAACAAATTCAAAAGGAATTATATTTAATAATTATTCATATATTTCTCTCATTTTCTCGTGTAAAGACGCGGGAGAAATGCACGCGCTCCCACATAGCACAGAAAGATTGCAGGAAGATTGCAGAAATGTTACATTGCAAGATTGTAATATTGCAGCAACGTTGCACAACATTACTGCAACGTTTCTGAAGGATTGCAGCAACGTTGAAATGTCCGCCCTCAGAGAGACTGCAGTGCAACATTATAGCAATGTTGCAGTGCAATATTTTTGGAATAATTTGTCGTTGTTGTACATAAGCAGAGAATTTACTAATTACATATACATCCGGGCCTTTTTCAAGGCATAGCAAGCTTTTGCTATCGAAAGTTTGCAATTTTATATCCCTGCAATGTCTCTGCAAGATTGAACTGTAATCTGCAAGATTGCAACGTTTCTATAATGCAACCATCTGTGCTGTACGCGCTGGTGTAAAATCAAATTTCGTGAAAATTAAAGAGTACAAAAATTCTACAGAAAGTAGAGTGTAAATAAATAATACTTTTCTGCATTATTGCTACACTGGCGTGAGGAGAATCGATACGCATATTATTATATTATTGCAGTGTATGGATTACAAGTGTAGGAAATGCAACACAAATGGAACACCTCCGCGCATTTGCATACGTATGGGCACTTTAATTTTAAATTCTAGTTGAATTTTAATCCCACTCTGTCGATGTTGCTCACCTACGATAGTCGGCCCGTCCTCCGCTTGGATAGTCAGCGTATCCGGCGGAGGATGCGAACGTAAGTTTAATCGTCGGAGAGCGTCTTCCTCTGAATCGGAGCTCGTTTCCGGATCCGAGTAGGAGAATGCTTTCCCTGTGGGGCAAAATCACGTCGATTATGAATTATTCGCACCGCGCGAAGAGTCGCGAATACATAAACTTATCAATCGGAAATCTGGCGTAACGGATTACAGATCGATCGATCGCGATTTACCTCGTAGACTCATTTGACAAACTTGAAAATTAACGCGGATCAGCGAGGGGCGAAGTTGAAATGAAATTCGAAAATTCCAAGCGCCAGGTATGCGAGGTAGGAAACGCAGGATGGAAATCGGGGATAGAGACCAAAGTCATATACCTATGTTTTTCGAGATTTGAGATGTGGAGCTGTTGGTGGACTCACAGAGGGGCACACAGACTCCGCCGAAGAGCGCGGTGGACGAAGGCGGCGTGAAGCACCACTTCCGGGACAGGTAAAGGAAGAGAGCCAGCAGGAGTACTACGAAGCCGGCAACGGCACCCAAAACTGCAGTAGCTTCCACAGGTACTGAAACAATCCCACCGGATTAACGTGACGCCAAGAGACCCATTGTCTTTGCGAAGCTTCTTCGAAAGACGCGCAAAATTTGTTTGGCGGTTTACTGTCTCGCGCTTTTTTCTCCCTCGCGAAATTATATTTGTTTCGTCGCATTACAGCACTTACATTCGTGGTTTTTTATTCCCTTCAATAACTATTGTTTCGCTTAAAACTTTTTACAAGTTTGAAGCGAATTATTAATTCCAGTAAAAGAAATGATTCGTCGATAGATGTCGAGTCGACATCGTCGAATCGACGTTTAGCACCGTAACGTGCTAATGAGACGACAATTTCTGATGTTCCATTAATGCGATCACGTTTACTCGCTCGGTCGTCCCAGCGTCATCGCTTTTTTCCTTCGCTCTCTCGCGATGACCGCTCTAAAAGCTGGAAAGAAACTATATAACTGTGTAACGACCGTTTGAATATACACTTAACGCGAAGCAATTATCAGCGTATATTAGAACGATGTACGTCTCATTTACTTTTGTGCGCAGAACACTGTCGTGCCATCGCATGCGCTGAGTTAATTAACTAATGTGTAATATCAAGATTAAAAGTTTGTTTCGTTGTGTACCGTAGGACGTACGCATACGCGCTAAATGCTTCCATTTATCATTATGCAATAATGATGCAATGATTGACGACAATGTGGTTCAGGCCAAATTTAACAAGCTATTTTGGACGGTGGAATATTTTAATTATCATCTAAGAGTCGGTGAATAGATTAGATTCTACATTTGCGGACGCGTTTCGGCACACGGTGCTTTCATCAGCGCTTTGATATCAATCATTATGCAATAATGCAATTGATATCAAAGTGATACTAAAAATTGGATTAATATCGAAAACCTTTAAGGCCGGTATTCATAGTCGATTCTTATTTTAGTATCATCTTAAGTGTTGTCTTAAGACGCTAATACGGCTCTGTGATTGGTTGAAAACACATTAAGAGTATACTTAAGATGATCTTAAATATAAGAACGGACTATGAATACCGGCCTAAAACCTTTGCTCGGCCGTACAGGCAGTATCGGTGGCGAGCGTGGCGTAGAGAAAAGTGCGCCGCTTAGGGCTAGTTTCACAAACATTGGTTAACTAGGGCTCAGTCGACTCCCTATCTCTTTCCATCTTATTATCTAAGAAGAGACAGAGAATCAAATAACCTTCGGTTAACTGCTGACTTTCTTTTCTTATCTTTGTTTCTCAGAAGATCAATTGTAAAAATCGAGGATTTTTCAGTTTCATTAATTGTCACCCTCTTGAACTTGGGCTTTTGCTCAATTATCACATTTATTATCTCAGTTACAG